TTCCTGGCTTATCACCTTGAACTTGTTTAGGTTTGGTTTTTTTTTTTTTTTTAAAGTAGAAGATCTCCCTTTCTCTTTTTTTTTTTTTTTTTTTTAATAACGTTTATTTATTTATTTTTTTCCCCCAAAGCCCCAGTAGACAGTTGGATGTCATAGTTGCACAGCCTTCTAGTTGCTGTATGTGGGACACGGCCTCAGCATGGCCGGAGAAGCGGTGTGTCGGTGCACGCCTGGGATCCGAACCTGGGCCGCCAGCAGCAGAGCGCGCGCTCTTAACCACTAAGCTGTGGGGCTGCCCCTAGGTTTGGTTTTATGTTTTGTTAGACCAGATCTGTGGAAAGCTTGAGGTGTTTCCCAAGCCCATCTAACTTGGTGGGACTCAACTCCCAAACTCTGCCTTCTTCCTGATCTTGTCAGGGCTTATTTTAGGCTTAGAGCTGATCTAGAGTAGACCTCACTCTCAGATGTGGTTCTTATCCTTAGGACTCTGCTTTTTGGGTGTCTCAGCTGGATGCCTGGGGTGTTAATCTGGTATCATGTGCTTTCACCACTTGGACTGGGCCAGAACTCCTAGGAGGTCCATTGCCTCTCAGCACTGTTTGACTTCTACTTATCTCTATTCCATTCTTAATCTGTTAGCAGTTCTCTGGTAAGCTTCATCTTGCCTTGTATGTGTGCAGCCCAGACCTCAACCAAGGATTCTTGGAGAACTTCCACACTAGAACCTCCCCTCTGCCCGGTTCTCTTTTCTCTGGGGCCTTGCCACACAGATTTCAACTGCTTAAACTCTAATCTCTGCCTCCTCAGCTCAGTGGACAGCTGCACTCTGCCTGGACTGTTTCCTTAACCTTACTCTTGTTCTGCTTGGACTTCAGCTCACTGCACCATAAGCAAGAAATGTCCCCAGGCGGAGAGCTGGGGTGATCATGAGACTTACCTCTTGTGTTTCCCTTCTCTCAGGAATTACAGTCTTCTGCCTGTTGTTTAATGCCAGAAAAAGTTACCTTACATATTTTCTTCACTCTTACGACGGTTTATGGCTGGATGGCTAGTTTAGTCCCAGTTGTATTATCATAAATATCCAGAAGTATAATTCCAAAGCCTATTCAGTTTGGTGAGGGAATGTTTTCTTAGAAAGAGAAAATCTTATTTCCTTTTAGACATTTATTTTTCATTCATCCAGTCAATGATCATGTACTGCCTTTCTTCTTTCTGCATTTGGCACTGGGCGTAGGAGGAGCACAAGACAGTTTCTTTCCTCACGGATCGTACTTTCTTAATGATAAGGAGGCCAATAAATAGGAAGTGAGAGTCTTTTTTTTTTTTTTTTTTTGAATAAACTTTAATTGAAGCATAACATACGATGTTATGGTATGGTCCGCCCCTCCAATTTGATAACTTGTGTAAGTACAAAGAACTTAATCTATCTTTTCCAAAGGAGAAGCTTTGGTAGTAGATGTAAGCTATAAATAAACTTTTCTAAATCACTATTTAACCATTAAATTTGCTTTATTTTGAAATAATTAGCAAGAGCTATAAAAGTGCTATTTATTTGCTCGTGTGTTGGTTTCACTCTTTTGCCGTTGGAAATGATTTCACTAGAGATGCAGAAATCAGATATCTTGATGTATTTATGATATTAAAAGTGAAAACAGTTTTTCCCTCTGTCTGACTTCTATAGTGTATTTAATAATCAAAACAAATTTTTTCGACTTTCGTTTTTATAAAATCAGCCTAACTCATGAAACAAACTTATCTTTACTCTGCTTCATATATCACTGCTGACAACCTATAATCTTCAACTCAGGGTCTGGCTATAGAATGATTTTTGCCAGTAATCACTGATAATGATATATGAATTGGATATGAAACAGATTTTCTTCCTTTTCTGTCTTTCTTTTTTTTTTTTTGTGAGGAAGATCAGCCCTTTGCTAACATCTGCCAATCCTCCTCTCCTTTTTATATGGGACGCTGCCACAGCATGGCTTGCCAAGCAGTGCGTCGGTGTGCGCCCGGGACCCGAACCGGTGAACCCCGGGCCGCCACAGCGGAGCGCACGCACCTAACCACTTGCGCCACTGGGCTGGCCCCTTTCTTCCTTTTCTATCATGACCTCCACCCCAAATTAGATTGATTTTAGATTGATTATAGAAAAATAACTTAGCTTGAAAAACTATTGTTCTTTCCCTGGTAAAATGCCCTTCAGTGTTAACTGGGAAATAAAGAAAAGTTAAACTTCTACTACAGTGGTACTGTCTCAACCATGGTGTTAAATTTCTGATACCTCCCAGGATAAGAGAATTCTTTTTTTTTGTGAGGAAGATAAGCCCTGAGCTCACATCCATGCTAATCCTCCTCTTTTTGCTGAGGAAGACCAGCTCTGAGCTAACATCTATTGCCAATCCTCCTCCTTTTTTTTCCCCCAAAGCCCCAGTAGATAGTTGTATGTCATAGTTGCACATCCTTCTAGTTGCTGTATGTGGGACGCGGCCTTAGCATGGCCAGAGAAGCGGTGCGTGGGTACATGCCCGGGATCCGAACCTGGGCCGCCAGTAGCGGAGCGTGCGCACTTAACCGCTAAGCCACAGGGCCAGCCCCGAGAATTCTTGATTTAAAAACTTCAGACAATCCTTATGGAGGAAATAAACTTTGGTTAAATTCAATATACAAAATTAATAGGCTGTCAACAGCATGTTACTCATCTTTAATAATAATGAATACATTTATCATTTCTTTTTTTTTTTTTGTGAGGAAGGTTATCCCTGGGCTAACATCCATGCCTATCTTCCTCTACTTTATATGTGAGATGCCTGCCACAGCATGGCTTGATAAGCGGTGCATAGGTCTGCACCCAGGATCTGCACCTGCGAACCCCGGGCCGCCAAAGCAGAGCACATGAACTTAACCACTATGCCACCATGCCAGCCCCTGTCATTTCTTGTTTTATACTTTTAAGGATTTTTATCTATCCTATTGTTTCATGTATTTTAGCATTTTTCAAGTATGGCCCTTCATCCAAATGTCTAGTGCTTTTCTAATTTTTGACTGAGAGTTGTTGATTCTCACCTCCTGCCTCTTACTATAACAGAAGATATAGAATAACTGTATGCTTGAAATGGAATAAAAAGTCTTGTTTTTCAATCCTCCTTTCCCATTACCAAGCACATGTAATCAAACCTTCTTATATACATCTCTGCTCTTTCTCTTCTTATAGATGCTGGTATTTCCCCAAACTTCTAATTCCAAGAAATCATTGTAATAGCCTCACACCTGAAGCATTCACAGTGTACCTTATTTGCTAATGGTGTATGTGTGTGTGTGTACTTATTTTATTAAGTACTATATAACTCTATTTTGGCATTCTGTTTTTTTCATTAACTCCTCCAGAATTACACCTTCATAGCAAAGTTTTGTGTTAGCATTCTGGAAAGTTTAGCCCCTCTTGTTTGTTGTATCAACTTAATAACATTATACCTATGTTCATCCTCACTAGGTAGGATTTATAAACTGTTATATGTACATGATATTAGATTACACACATCTTGTGGGCTAATATTAAATTAGTTATGTACAATAAAGTAGAATAATTTGGTGAAATTAGTAAAAGGGCACATGATTTTTAGGTATCTATAGGCCTGCAAACTATTCTTGCAAAGGATCTACTTTAGCAGTAACTTGGGAGTCATTAATTTCAGTTACTGTAGTTAAGTAATATGCACTTCTTAACCAACACTCTTGAGTTTATTTAGAGTCCTCTTTTAGTTCAAATAAGCAAAATTTTACTATATTTTCATTGATCAGTGTAAGAACATTATTTTAACAATGATTATTGTTTATGATGGTAAAAAAAATATCTAAGATGCAGACTTGCAACGTTGCTCTTTCAATTTGCTTGTCAGTGACTATTGTCATTTGTGATCAAATGGTAATGATAGCAAACCTTTCAATTCTTTTGAGACTGTTTCTTCAGACTGGTGCTGTTTCTTCTGACTTGTTCATCGCATCTGCCTCCCAATTACATTTTTTACAAAATGCAAACGTTGTCTCCGTTATCAGAGAGAACAAATGTTTGCCTCTTGCTTCTGTTTCCTCTGTAACTTTTAAAATATGATTGAAAATAATTTTGTACGTGCACAGAAAGGATATATATTTTAATGGGTTTGGGCTAAGGCAATTCTGATAAATGCTTTGGCATTGCATAAGGAATATGTGTTTTGATTTGTTGATAGGAGTGATCACAGTGTTGTGAGTTCTGAGGTGAATAAGTGATGAGAACATCACCAAAGTGTCCAGTCCTACAAACATGTCTTTTTACTGACAATAATTGTTTTGACTGTTGTATTGCAGCTGTTGAAAATGGACAGGTAGATGTGTTAAGGCTGTTGCTTCGACATGGAGCAGATGTTAATGGATCCCATTCTATGTGTGGATGGAACAGCTTGCACCAGGCTACTTTTCAGGTAACCTCTGAATTTATTATTTCATTTCTATGTAAATTATGTGTTTTACCCTTTTAAAATGACAGTTCTCTACAGTTTTTGCTTCCTACTTGGCTATGATTTATGATGGTTAGTGCAGTACAGAAAAGGCAGTCTAAATGCTAATGATAATTCTGAATAAGCCAGCCGCTCTAGTAGTTCTAGCAGCTTTGGGCTGCAGGGATTATCTAAGTTTTTCAAATGTTGATAGATAGTTAAGAGACCATAAGAATATTTGGGATATAAATTGATAATGAGCAGTGGCTTATTTTATTTATAGCAGTGTATTTAGAAACTGTCATAACACCTTAGTGCTTGGGCTAGCAAGCTAATTTTGCAGAATTTTGTAAGGATTATAATTCCTGGAGATCTGTTTGTATTTAATGGTCCAGCTAAAGGTATAGAATAATCTGATTGTTTAACACTTCCTTCCCATCCACCAATGTACTTTTTTAAAAAAGTGTTCCTTTAGTGAGGATAAAACACACACACACGTGCACACACACAACAATAAGAAAAGAGATATCTTCTATTTTCTTTGTTTTCTCTTATTTAAAATATGAATCTGTGCTTTAGGAAAATGCTGAGATCATAAAATTGCTTCTTAAAAAAGGAGCAAACAAGGAATGCCAGGATGACTTTGGAATCACACCTTTGTTTGTGGCTGCTCAGTATGGCAAGCTAGAAAGCTTGAGCATACTTATTTCATCGGGTAAGATTAATCCATTAGCCTTTGCACTGTTAAGATGATGAGTTTTAACTTTGTATCTTCCTAGGAAGAATAATTCTTGACCAAATCAGATTGTGAAATTTATGGTTTTATGTTAGTGGTAAATAAGAGTACATACAGTTGATTTATAGGCCTGATGACTAAGTGTCTATTACTAACATGCACAACTTGTTATATGCAATATAATAATGCAATACACAGCTACTAAATTATCTGAGTAGGAACATAATGATCTATCACTAAAGCAGGTTTATAGGCAAGTTGAATGATGGGGCTGTCCTTTCTTATAGGGATCTGAGCAGTTCCAACTTTCTAGGGTGTAAGACTAGCTTAGGCTTAATTAATTTATTAGATAGCTATTTTGTATATTAACCATTTGAGTTGTATGTTTTGATCAGTTGTGTGATATTTAAATGGGTTTATTTCAAAGCATGTTTACACTTGATGTTAATAGCAATATAAACCTGGTAAAGGATTTCTCTGTGGCAACCATTACACATTCAGCATTACCAGAGAAGATGGTGTTGAGGTGGCATTCTTAGTGTGCATGACATTTCTGTGACCAGAAACGTTTGTTGTGTAAAAGCTTTTAAATTCCTCCAGACACTGTGTGTGTGCCCACAGTGCTAACCTGATGAAGCATGGATAGTCAAGAGCTGAAGGGAAATACACAAGATTTACCACTTTTTTTTTGATACCTATGCTTTTCAGATATCTTCTATAATACCTAAGCTTTTAATAAATTACCTCCAAATATACAAAACAAAGTTTATTTAGACAGCAAGGCACATATTTTCTTATTTATTTTCTCCTTACAAACCTTTGAATACTCAAGTTGAAGTAGAAAGCAAAAGAAACAAACATTCAAGTGCCCAATTAAGATATATGTTACAAATATTGAGTCTATAAATCTTAGAGTTGAGAGGAATCTCCAAAATCATTTATTCAAGCGTGGTTTTTTTTTTTTGGTTAAGAATCCCTAGGCCCTAACTGTTTAAATGCCTTGCCAAAGATCTAGAAAGTATTTCCTGGCAGAATCAGGAAATTCTGACTCAGGCCTTCTGACTTCTCATCTGCCTTCTTCTATGTTGTACCTTCCTGAGCACTGTCCTAATTCATTTTATGGCTACCAGTCCCATAAGTTCCAATTATGAGTGTGTAATGAATATTTATAATAAAATGGGTTAAATTGCACGTGAATGTGCTGAGTCTATCTCCTGGAACACTAAGTACCTGTTTTGTTTTGCTTTCTTCTTTTTTTTTTCCTTCTTTCCTCTCTGAATAGTCATAAAAAGCAAGTTGAAAATGTATGTAGGTATGTTTATAATGTAACTATATATGTTTCTGACTCCTTAAAATGACTTTCCTTTCGGTGAATTATCTGTCATTTTTCCAACTTTTCTACCTGTAATCTTACAGGGACTGGTTCCTTATTCTTTCTGATACATTGAAATTATCAATCAAAATGAAACATTGCTTAAAAAAGAAAGTTAAGTAGGTTTCTTTCTTGTCTTAGTCTTTTCTCAGCAATAGTGTTCTCTTCTTTCTGAGGCTGAAGCATCCACCTTGTATAAGTCAAGAAGATTCTGCTTGTCTAGACGTGTTGAATGTCCAGTTGGAATTTCTGAAGGTTTCATAAACTCTTTAACTTACCATTTGTGTTTTGCATAGTTTTTGTCCATATCAGGGCTTTTTTTATTCAAGCTACATTTATGGAACATCCTGTTAAATAAAAGATAATCTTTTTACCCTTGATGATAATGATTTTTCTACTGAGATATATTCCAGAAATTTAAAAATTCTCAGCCATGTAGTAACACCATACTTAGCATATGTAACACACTGTTTGTCAATGAGAAAAGATTGGGGAAGTCTCCTGTTTTCAAAACATTCACCAAAATTGAGGTCACTTTCAAGTTTTTCACGTCTTTATACACTGGCATCTAAATGATTAGATTTATACTCTAAAAAAATTAGCTCAGAAACCCATTTAAATAGACCTTTTTCCTTTTATTGTGGGCTCTATTTATCATGCAGTGGTCTTGAAGAAAACGGATGTAATAAAGAGTATAGTCAATATTAGTTTTAAGGCATAGCCCCCACCTATTTCATACCTACTGGAAATTTTTCTCATAAATGTTAGTCTGAATCAATTAGTGACATCTATAAAGTCTCATAATTTAGGTTTTTCTTACCTTTTTCAGTAATTATCAAAATCTTACCCATATTCGGTGGCTTGCATTTTCCCTTTTCAAACAGTTACTTGTTGGACCCACAGAGTGCTTGTTAGAGGAGAGATTGGAATGAAATGAATCCTTCATCGAATAAGATTTTTGTTTTAGCTTAAAAATGAATTCTAAAATATTAATCACTTGTTTTCTTGCTAACATAAAAGCAAAAACAATTTAAATGATTACCAACAAGTTGGGAAAATCAGTATGTTTATACAACAGTATCCTCTGAGGAGGGAAAAGCTATTGTACTGTAAATCTCTTTTAAGTCAGTTGCTTTGAAATTTATGTTAATTATCATGATTTTTTTTGTTTTTTTGCATAAATGAGGATTATCTGTTAAATGTTTTATTTTGTATTAGGTGCAAATGTCAATTGTCAAGCCTTGGATAAAGCTACTCCCTTGTTCATTGCTGCTCAAGAGGGCCACACAGAATGTGTGGAGCTTTTGCTGTCCAGTGGGGCAGATCCCAATCTATACTGTAATGAGGAAAATTGGCATTTACCTATTCATGCAGCTGCACAAATGGGCCATACAAAGTAAGTGTTAAAAATGGAAAATACAAATGGTCTCATAATTAAAAGATGATAAGGCATAAATCATCTGGGCAAAATCTGTGGTATCCCCTTCTCTACCAATCTGCTGGGTGACTAGATCTACCCTCATCTGTGTCCCCTGTGCCATCCTCATCTGCTCTTAGCCTTGAGCTTTCCTAGTGTGAGGTGGAGTGGCTAGAGTCCAGATAACGCTGGGGGCTTTCTTAGGGTGTTAAGTCTTCTCCATGATTTCTCAAGCTACGGCTTTACTCTCCAACTCCTCTCCAGTTTTATCCGGATTTATCCTATGCATCTTAAGTTTTATCCCATGCATCTTATGTTGTGATCTGAGGGCCTTATTCAATTTATTTACGTTACCTCCCTGACCCCAGAAAGCTCTTGAGTTTGTGACCCCTGTTGGATTTGAGTCTTTGTTTTGTGTGGGCTGGTAGTTCTTCCCCTCTTGAATTCTTTGACTGGACTTCTCTTTATCTAATCTCAAGTCCAATCTGGTACTTTTCCCTGCTTCTATTACTCTTCTTCCTTAGCCAAGATTTCCCATGAAATTTTTTGTATGTTTTGGAGAGAGAGTCTTAAAGTTGGAATTCCCTGAAATTGGGGGATCCAGGAATCTTAGAACCTAATAACTTGGTTATACCTATGAGAATATGGCAGCCTATCTTAACATATATTGGCACTGCACAGTTGTTTAAAAGTCTTTAAAGACTTTTGTTTAAAGTCTTTAGAGTCGTAATTCTGCAACAATAATTTTATAGCTATTGTTAATATTATTTAATTTAAAAAGTAGTAGTGAAGGGGTCGTTACTGGAGTATGTTTACACAGAAGGAAGACAAATTCTGTAATTTGGTTATTATGCCACTAGGTGGCACGATATTTTACTATTTCCTTAAAGATATTTATAAGCGTATGTGTGCCCTGTTGAAGAATATAATTTTTCCAACTCATTTTTAAAAGTTGAACACATTTATTAAGGTTAAGAGACATTAAACAGCTTCTTTATTTTAAAATTTGGTTTTAAAGTTTGATATTTTTCTTAATTCTGGATTATTTATTTAAACATAAATCTTAGGTACAATTATACGCTGAGCTTTAGATTGGTACCAAAACCCTCTTGGGAATTTGTCCTAATTTGTTCTCAGTTTTGAGGATTCTGTTGTCATTGATGATTTCCTTCATAGACTACTTCTAGGGTAATCCCTCTGTGAATAGAAGTTCTTCAATGTTATCTCAGGCCTGCCTTACATGAGGAAAAGTAGCAGAGAGAATGTTATAAAGATACTTTGGAGTAGCCCTGCCTTTCTTTTCCCAGAAAGAGGTGGGTCTCCTGGCTCACATTATCCCTACAGTTTTATTTTTAATTTTAGAATAGTAGACTAGTCTTTTCTCTCCAGCTGAGTGCTGAAGTTAAGTTTACAAAATCTAAGAACTTATGTTTTAATGATTTTCTTTAGAATTTTCTCTACTTAGCAACCAATTTCTTTATAAATCTGCCTTGGTGTTTAAAGAGCTCATATTATTTTCAGAGAATAGAATATTTTAGCAGAAATTCTGCTTTCCTTCTGATAAAAATACTATTCATTTCATGTTACCGTCTTTAAAAATTCTTATTAATTAGAAAAAGAAAACTTTAGTTTGTACTTTAAGAAGGAAATAGTTTGTTTTCTTCATACAAGTTTATATTTGGTATAATGAAGTTTTAAATTATTAGATCCTAAAATATCTAACATAAAATTTGAATTTGGGGAAGTAATGTGATTGTGGTAAGGTAGATAATTAGTGAAAAAATAAAAAAGGACAACTGTTACTTATTTACTTACAGGAACATTATTTACTTCTGTTTCAGATATATTTAAGGACCTTTGTATTAAGCAACAATAAGAAGCGTAACGTTTTGGAATGTGTAGCCTATAATAATTTAATGTAGGTAGAAGGTTCACTGAGGGCAGATAGACTTCTTTAAATCAACCAATGGGTGACTCTTACAGTATGTGCTGTAGAATTGTTGCCTACACTTATGTACATGTAAAAACATTAAATGCTCCTGAATTTGTGTATTTGCAGAATCTTGGACTTGTTAATACCACTTACTAACCGAGTCTGTGACACTGGGCCAGACAAAGTGAGCCCTGTTTACTCAGCGGTGTTTGGAGGGTATAAAGCGTGCCTAGAAATGTTACTCCAGTGTGGCTACAGCCCAGATGCCCAGATTTGCCTCGTCTTTGGACTCAACTCTCCCATGTGTATGGCTTTCCAAAAGAAGTATGTATATTTGCTATATTTTTATCCTTTTTTGCTATATGGAGATATATTTCCAAGTGACTTTCTTTTATGATGAAACTTAATATTTCTTAGTGCTAAATTGCTAACTTAAAAACAAAACACAAACAGAAAAAAACCCTCTATGATGCACCTTTTTCAGTCAAAGTACAGTAGAAATGAAGTGATAATGTCAGATTTTTTTCCTTCCCTCTTTGGATCTGGATTATATTTTTAATGTAGCAGTTTTAGGGAATACTTACAATATATTAAAGTAAATTCAGGAGTTCTCTGATATCCTTGGTCTTCAAAACAATTCACGAATTAAAACAAACTTTGAGTTATATGATAAATAAGGTCTGAGGATCTAATGTATATCATGGTGACTATAGTTGATAACACTGTATTGTATAATTGAAATTTGGTCAGAGAGTAGAATTTAAATTCTCTCACTAAAACAAAAAAGGTAACTATGCGAGGTGATGGATATGTTTAATTCGATGGGAGAATCCTTTTACAATGTATGCTTATATCAAATCATCATTTTGTACACTTTAAATATCTTACCATCTTATTTGTCGGTTATACCGCAATAAAGCTGGGGCAAAAAAAGAATTAAAAATGACTTTAAGTAAGGCATTGACTGTGTTTCAGGTTATTTACCATTTGAAATTTATATTTACACGACTTGCTATAAGCCTAAAAATAAAACTTTAGTTTTGTAGATATTATTATACTTTTAATGTATTTGGTTTGTAGCATTTCTTCATGTGAGTCAGAGTAATAAAATTAAAAAGTCTTAAAAATACTTTTTGTGCTAACCTACTATGATCCTATGAGGTAGAATAAATGAAGAATCACAGCTGCTTTATCAGCTTCTGGTCAATACTTGTCTATAAGACTCCTACGGTTTTAAAATAGACCATAAGAATAAGGCTATACATAAGAAAAGCATATTAAGTAGTATGTCTGGTCCATCCAGTAATGGAATAAGTTGTGCAAATAGACGCTATTGTTTTTAATGGTAACGAAAGAGGTTACTGGCATACCTCAAAATTTCATTGGCCTCCGTGAATTTACTATTATGGATTGCTATGCACGATTTAATTTAAATATCTATCAAAAACTTATTTACTAATCTTTTCAGCCTCTACCATCTCTTAACGTTTGCTTTGTAAAATAGTAGCTCATTTTATTTATTCTGAATTTAAGCTTCCAGGTATATAGTGTAGTCTGAATATTTGGGGTTTTGGTTAATCTGAGTATCTGGGACCCACTCTATGCATAACTTTCATGATTTTATAGAAGTTCGTTTTATGTCCCCTGCAGTTTTGTCTTTCTAGACACTTTAGTTTAGACACTTTTGTTTTTCTAGACACTTCAGTGAGGCTGCATTGATGACTTTAGTTATGTTACTTGTCTTTCTCTATACATATTTAACTCCATTATATTTTATTGTTAGGTCAGAATTGAATTTTTTTCATTAGACAAAAACATAATGGTTTTGGATAGTTTGTATGTATATGTGTCCAATATAATGATAGTCTTTTTTGGCCTTCATGTTACATTTTGGAGTAATGATATTTCAGTCTTGCTGGTTACAGCAGCTAGGCTCATCATCTTGTAAGTGTAGTTTGAATTAAACCGTATGACCCAGTGCACCTGTTAACCCTGAAACACAGTTTACCTGCATATTTGTTGGGACATGTTCAACAGTCCGTGTGTAGCTTGTCTGTTCTATAGTGGAATCAGCAAGTAATAACAGCAGGCAAAATAATGAGAGCTTAGTTAAATGAGGTCAAATTGGTTGAAATAAATTGGTGATAACTGTTGAGAACCATCAGTTGAAAGTATATCCTGAGCATTTCTTGTAGTGCAGGACTGCTGGTAACAAATTCTGTCAGCTTTCCTGTATTTGAAAATAGCCAGAGGAAAAAATACATACATACAGGGCTATTTTCAAGAACAATGATATGAATGATGGACTTCTCATCAGGAACAAATAGCAAGATGGTAGACAGACAACCAAGTTATTAATTTTTATAAAGAAATTTTAGAATTATGGATTTTTCTTTTCTAATTGCAGTGCAAATGATTAAAAGTAAAGAGAATACTGTTTAATCTTTTAACTAAAGAAAAGCACAAATTGGAGAATAAATGAAATAGATTTATAAAAATATATGGGTTAGGTGACATTTTACTTGTGTATATAGTTTTAACTGCTTTAAAACCTTAATTTAAAGTTCTATGCATAAGTCCTTGAAGTAGTTTGTCTCACATGACAATGGTTTAAACATTTTTTTTTTTTTAATTTTATTTATTTCTTTTTGTTCCCCCAAAGCCCCAGTAGATAGTTGTACATCATAGTTGCACATCCTTCTAGTTGCTGCACGTGGGACGTGGCCTCAGCATGGCCAGAGAAACGGCGCGTTCGTGCACGCCCGGGTTCCGAACCCGGGCCGCCAGCAGCGGAATGTGCACACTTAACTGCTAAGCCATGGGGCCGGCCCCTAAACATTTTATATTTGTTTTATTTACAACTTTTATGCCTCTTATTTACTTAGATTCTATAATACTATGATTAATGAAATATTTCTTTTTAATTTATAGTTGTTTCAAATAACATTAATACCAATTTCAAAAGGAGAATAATTTTATTCTTAGATATTTTCTTTTCCGGTTGTCTACGTAGTGAACATACATATTTACTGAGCTTTGTTACAATTAAAGTTATGTCATAAACATTGTTTTTAATGTGGTTACATAACCATCATATTTGCAGGTTTTGATGACTATATCATATTTGGTACTTATCTGCTCCTCTGTCGAACATTTAGGTAATTTCTTTCTTTTTAAAGTCTGTTATAGATAATACTCTGGTTAACATATTTGTGCAAATAGGATATCATTTCTTTTTGATTTTATCTCTTGGATAAATTGTCAAGATTTATGTTTATTATATTTTATTTTATTTATAGGATATTTTACTTTACATATCATTTTATTCTACAAATACTTAAATAGTGCTAGTTCTGTGTGCCAGAAAGGTTCAATAACTTGCTTAGAGACACACAGCTAGTAAGTGGCTGAGCAAGCTGCCTCCAGTGTCTATGCTCCTCATTGTTGCTGTGATACCTTTTTTGATGCATCTTGCCAGTTAGCTCTGTCAAAAAAAGGTTACATTTATTTTCAGTCAGTTTAACCACAACTTACCAGTATTGGATGATAAAATTTTTTTAAAAAGTAACCAATTTAGGGGCCGGCCCCATGGCTTGGTGGTTAAGTGCGCGCGCTCCGCTGCTGGCGGCCCGGGTTCGGGTCCCGGGCGCGCACCGATGCACTGCTTCTCCGGCCATGCTGAGGCCACGTCCCGCAGGCAGCGGCTAGAAGGATGTGCAGCTATGACATGCAACTATCTACTGGGGCTTTGTGGGGGGGGGAAGTAACCAATTTAATAGGTATAAAATAATATACTAGTATTCTGTAAAAGTACTTGATGAGATTAATTTAAAAATATAAAGCTGTAAGTTAAATTTTTGTTCATTAGGAAAAAAAGCTGAGCCAGCCCTGATGGCCTATTGGTTAAAGTGCAGCACTCACCACTTTGGCAGCCTGGTTTCATTCCAGGTCACAGAACCACACCACCCATTTGTCAGTTGCTCTGCTGTGGAGGCAGCTCACATAGAAGAACTAGGATGACTTACAACTAGGATATACAGCCATGCACTGGAGGTTTGGGGATGGGAGAAAAAAAAAAAGAGGAGGAAGATTGGCAACAGATGTTAGCTCAGGGCGAATCTTTCCCTGCAAAAAAAAAAAAAAAATTCCTTTAAAAAAAAAAGCTTTTCTATATGGTTTTTACTATTAGAAATCTAAAAGGAAGAGGGAAATTGGCTAAGGCTATATTGCTAAAGGAAATGGTATCTTAGAGATTCCTAGAATGATTTATCTGTCTTTAAGGACTGATCACATTGTTTATTAACTTTGTTTAGCAAGTATTTTGTAGTAGACATACTTAATTGTACAAAAATATCATAATTAGAGAAGAATTTTCTGTTTGTCAGTGATAATTTTAAAAATTATTCAAGATAAATGTTTTAAATTCTAAGGTTGCTACCTGTTCACAGTTGGAAATTAAAAACCATGCAGAAGGGTATAAATTAAAAAGTAAAACCCCCTCTTTCCCCTAGTCCCCTAGTGTCAATCTGCTAGACATGTAAAAACCATGTACTATCCCATCTGCCATTCTTATTCTCCAGCTGTAACTATTGTTAACTATTTGTAAGAATTATTATCTTTTTTTTGTGAGGAGATCAGCCCTGTGCTAACATCTGCCAATCCTCCTCTTTTCTTTTTTGCTGAGGAAGACTGGCCCTGGGCTAACATCCATGCCCATCTTCCTCCACTTTATATGGGACACACCACCACAGCATGGCTTGCCAAGCGGTGCGTCAGTGCACACCCGGGATCTGAACCGGCGAACCCTGGGTCGCCGCGGTGGAGCGCGCGTGCGTACTTAACCACTTGCGCCGCCGGGCCGGCCCCAGAATTATTTTTTTATGTAAAAGTCTAACTTTTCTTTCTTCCTTTTTTTTTTCCTTGTGGTGCAGCTATGACTTCCCTGGAATGGCAAATATTCTTTTGAAATATGGAGCCCAGCTAAATGAACTTGATTTGGCATACTTCCTGAAGTGTGAGAAGTTTTCAGTATTTCGCTACCTTTTGAAGAAGGGTTGCCCGTTAGCACCGTGGAACCATATATCTGAATTTATAAATCATGCAGTTAAAGCACAAACAAAATATAAAGAATGGTTACCATCTCTCCTGCTTGCTGGATTTGACCCACTGAATCTACTATGCGGTTCATGGTAAGAAATCCTACCATAGTGGACTTTACCCTTTTTGAGTGAATATACTACCTTTAGTTACCCCTAATTTCTTGAGATCCCTGTGTTGGGAGGAGGGTGTGTGTGTGTGTTTTGACTGTAATGGCTGGGTTGGGGTGAAGGAATTGTGGGGCTGCTAAAAGTGAGATTGAATGTAAGGTTAGAGTCCTGGAAAAAGGTAAGAGGTAAGAGGAAGGGAGTAGAAAGGTATGGATGCCAGTGAACTCTTCTGAGAGGGATATTTCTTCTACTTAGGCCGTCCCCATGTTCCTCTTAAAATGCCTGTGACAGAATGGTTGTAACTGCTTTGCAGATTTCTGTTATCCCCTAGTCAACTAGATTGAATACTCCTGTCCTTCAGCATCTTGTGTATTTGAAATTTGTCTCACTTCTTAAGTACTGATTTCTGTCGTAGCTCAGAATATAACTTGTTTCTCAGAAGAGTTGCACCTTTGAGTGATTCTATGAAAAGCCTCCAGCCTTTCTAAGTTGTTAGTGTCTAGATGTAATTGTAGCAGTGAGAGGACTCTTTTGATCTGATAATTCAAGTCAAATGAGAAAGTAGAATAAAGTCTCTAGGAAAATAGAGGACATGGGTATTTTATAAATAAAAACATCAGAAGTCTTCATTTTTGTGCTTCAAAAACTACCATTCACTAAAATAAATAGACTAATACTGAGGTTTTGTTTCAGCAGAAAAGTGCTTTGATATCTTGTTATTTGAGTTTTTCCTTTCAAAAGAGGTCCTCTTAGAGGTTCAGGCAGGCAATGCTAGTGGCCCCCACTTGTAAATTTAGTTTGCGTTTCTGGGGACTCCATCTTCCACCTGGTGGCTTCGCCATCTTTATGTGAAGAGCTGCTCTTTATTTGGCAGGACCGCGGTATCTCACTTTTTTATTATGTCTGCCATTGTATGGAATTAGGAATTTCACTAGGCAGAGGTTTTATGCTTAGGACTATCATCCCTTTCAGATACTATGTGTTTCTGATATGTGGTTTGTAAGGAAAAACTGCTTTCTTGTGGGTGGTTTGAGGAATATAGAAGTAAAAGCAAAATTTAGATACGTGTTCTGATCTCCACTTTAGTTTTTGTTTATAGTTTACAGCAGGTTGAGTCCCTGATTGTATTTACTTCTTTCTCCAACAGCTGATTAACATAGTTACCTGTCAAATGCTCATTGTTGCAATTCCCTCTGTACCTTTTCAATAAATTTTCGTAAAAATCCATTGTATTTTTTAGATAATTGAATGAAATGTAAAGATTATTGACAATTCGTTGAGAAATCTCTGATTTTTAAGAGTTATTTGTGTATGTATATTTGTCTTAACAAATCCCTTTTACGTGTGTGTGCACATACATATTGTTGAGATATAAATACTCGCTAATGAATGCTGTGTCTAGCTATTAACAAAGCTACTCAAGTACCTTTAACGTTTTACTTAGTGAATTTTTTTGTTGTATCTGGGCTCCTGACAGTACCAGTTGTCCCTCTCCGTTCCGGGATTCACTTCCTGACTGCTGCTGTAAATCCAGCTCAGCACATGGCTGTGGACAGCCCTGATAGTGTGTTCCCTTTCCTCTCTCACCCATGGTGCTTGTCCCCAAGGCACCCATTTTCTTCTCAGCTACACTCCTCGTGTTCCTCTACTGAAGCTGCCATCTCAACTCCATACTACTTGCCCATTACTTTCAGCCATCATGCTCCATTCTGGTTTCTAGTTTGTTTATTTCTTTAACCAACAGTTAGAATACTGCCTGACACAAAGTAGGTACTATTTTAGTTCTTTACTGTATTAACTCATTTAATATAAAATATGGTAGCATACTATTATCCTTATTTTATAGAGGAGAAAATTGAGGTACAGGGTGTTTAACATACTTGCCCAAGCTCACACAGCTAGTTAGTGTTAGAGCTTAGATTTGAACCCGGGCTGTCCCGTAGTGTGGCTCAAATCTGTCTTCCTAACTACTGCGCTATGCTGTCTTAGCCCTGTGTATCCACAGAGATGTAGTAGTTAATCACTTAATTTCAGGTCCCTTAATCCCTTGCCTAAGCTGGGGGGATTGGTGCCAACTTTCCTTGCTTCTTCCTACTTCTAAATTAGGAAGAACCTATTCAGGGAAAAAAAATTAAACATTGCCTCTTTTCCTTTCCTCCTCAGCCAACTATGTAGACTGCTGCAATGAGAGGGAATTATTTAGCTTTATTTTTCTAGAATGGTTTGTAAAATATACTCTCCCATCCTCAGTTCTGATACAGGCTCCCCTTCCCCCTGTATGAATAGCCCATTTGAGAATTTTTGTGGTCATAAGCCACTGGGTATGTGCTATATTATATATTGAATGTGTTAGGATAGAAAAAAGTTAAGAACCAGTAAATTACATATTATTTTGGAGTAAATTGTAAAACTTTCAGCTATCTGAATTGAGAATGTCAGTTGCATTATTTTACTCCAAAGGATAAAGCCACTGAATACGATAGATGTTTTGCTTTCTTTGATCAAATTTACATTCAAAGAGCTGTTATAAGAAAAATTCTCCCATAAAAATTCCAATATGTTGGTAAAGTGGATTTTGGTCGTATCTTATTTATATTACATGTAAGTCTGTTGCTTAATCTTTGTCACGTAAATTATAAATGTTTTTCCTTGGTATTGCTTGTCTTAAACAGTCTTAAAAAATGTATCTGGCTGAATAATTGCCTGTCACAATATAATCTACAGAGTTGAAGTGTTTTTTCAACTTTAAATGCAAGACTAGTTCCCCCCTCAGCCCCTAAAATGTAATAGGTGAATAATAGAAAGTAAATGTCATCTGTGCATTTAGTTGATTAACTGTCACTCATTTATGATTGTACAACTGCTTTGTACGATGTAATGGTCAATGTAGTGCAGTAATAATACATTTTTAGTGGCATTATCAGCATCGGTAAAATAAACTCACCATTATATTAACTGAAGCTGTATAAACAGATTTATTTCTCATGTGTGTGTTTAGATAGTTGCGTAAAAATGACTCTGTGGGACTTAAAGCACATTATAGCAGACTTAGTCACAGTGGGACTTAAAGCACATTATAGCAGAAAAATGAAACCATTAGAAAGGAAATAAGGAACCAGAACCAAGTAACCTTTGGTGTGGGGTTCCTAGAAGATAAACGAGATTGTTTATCTTTGACTATATTTTATCATTTCATTTATTCTCAGTATTTCCTGATAAGTTGTGATTTCACTGAGAGTTTCCTGATAAGTAAAATGTTTTCCCAAGGCATTTGTGTTACACTTTTACGTTCTTCCTTATTTATGTTTGCATATTAGAGAATTGAGAATTTGGGAAATAATTTTCATACTCTCTAATCAGTCATTTCAAGGATACTTTGACCCTAACTTGCAATAAATAGTTGTCTTTGAGGTGACTAGAGTATTATTCAGTTTCTTTCCTTGCCTTCTATTTTTTTCCTTCTTTAGTCCTTGCTACAGTAATGTCTCCAAAAAAGCAACCTTGAGAAGAGTTTCTGTTTTTGAAGTAATTTCCAGAGGCCCTAATAATTTTATTTTTCTTCAAACAGTGTGATGGTAGGAGAGTATCTAATTGAGTATGAGATGGTTAATTTTGTTAGGATTTAGAGTTCTCTTTAAGCTTTGATTAAATTTCATGTGTTCAATGTTATAAGGTCTATTGAAAATTTCAAATCAGTTCTAGTAATATCAAATATTTATATAACATTTTATAATTTAAAAAGTGTATTTACTGGGGCCGGCCCGGTGGCGCAAGCGGTTAAGTGCACGCGCTCTGCTTTGGCGGCCCGGGGTTCACCAGTTCGGATCCCAGGCGCGCACCGACGCACTGCTTGTCAAGCCATGCTGTGGCGGCATCCCATGTAAAGTAGAGGAAGATGGGCACAGATGTTAGCTCAGGGCCAATCTTCCTCAGCAGAAAAAAAAAAAAAAAGAGGATGATTGGCATCAGATGTTAGCTCAGGGCTGATCTTCCTCACACAACACACACACAAAAAAGTGTATTTACTATGTTTTCTTATATTATTTTCACAAGTAGTCCCCTGAAATAGTCAGGTTAAGTATTATTCTCATTTTAGAGACCAGGATCTAGGGCTTACAGATTTTAGGCAACATGTTTGTAAGTAGTAGAGGTGGTATTAGAAATCAAAACTTTTCTTAGACCAGTGCTCTTTCCATTAGTATTCAAGTGCTTACAATCTTTGAGGAAGTCTCTTTTGGGTGGATTGGTAGGAAACCTGACATTATTTTGAAAAAATAGAGGGAGAACTGTTTGTTTTGAATACCTTCTTTCAGTCCTTAAAGACGAAACTTATTCTAGTACATCCTTTAGAGCTGAACCTATAATGCGGAAGGTTCTTAGAGGAGAGCAATTGTACTTCCCCGGGAGATGGGCAGAAATGAGTCATCTCTCTCGTACACTACGTTTAGGTATAGCTTTGGGTACTTGGGCTTTATCCTTTCGGGACTGCTAGATTATATGTCTGTAAAGATGACCAATCTAGATTCAGCAAGGTGGTCCACTTGGGAGGAGATAATGGCAAATCCAGTGATGACTGATGCTGTCTCTGTGTCTTTTCTTACCACTGCTGCAGGGGAATGGGAAGGAAAGTTCCTGCCCTCTACAAAAGTAGAGATTCCTTTTGTCATCTATTGGACAACAACACAGAGTCAATTCACTTTCCTGTGGGAACCTGTAGATTATTCGTATCCACTGAACTTACCTTCAGTTACACGAATATTTTCTATGCTGCAGTTTTCTGTCTGCCTTCCACATTCAGATGTTGTAGGAGTAGTTATGTGGTGTTTGTTTTCAGGACGAACCTTTGGTGTATTTTGTGTCTAATGGTATGTTAACATCTTACTAATATAGGATTGACTCAGTCAGCGATGACACCCTTATCTTCACTTTGGAGTTTACTAATTGGAGGAGACTTCCTCCAACTGTTGAAAAGATGCTCTCTGCTCGTGCCTCAAACTCCTCTTGGGCTCTACAGCAACATGTTGGTAAGAAAGTACAATTTTTAAACACACTTCACTACTTTTTCTTCTCTTTTTTTCTCTAGCTATGTTGTAATTTTAAGTGATGAGTCATTGGAGAACATATATTAAATTGGGCATCATTTGCATTTTCTGTATGTGGGGAAAGAATGGGATAGTGGAGGGGATAATAATAATATCCTTCAACAAAAATTATATCTGATTTTATAAGTTTAGCCTAAGGAGCATGTAAAGAAAAGCGGGTGTTTACGGATATTTCTATTTAATGATATCCTTTTTAGTAAGGATTATGTAAACAAAAATGAGTCTTAAAAATCTTATTAGTGAATATTTAGTTTGTGATTAGAAAAATGCTAAACTTGATTTTCCTCTTTGGAGTGTGTATGGATTTGTGTTCTGTCTTTAGTATTTAATCAGCTCTAAAAGGAAGTAGTACTGTCCTTTATTTATACCTTTCCTTACTGAATGTATGCTAGTGTGTTGGTGTGATATAACTTGGGAGGTGAGCTGGGTGAAAATTCTGTGGATTGATATTTTAAATGATTGTTTTATTATTTATTTATTTTTGGAGGATCTGTTGCCAATCCTCCTCTTTTTGCTTGAGGAAGATTGTTGCTGAGCTAACATCTGTGCCAGTCTGCCTCTGTTTTGTATGTGGGATGCTGCTGCAGCATGGCTTGATGAGTGGTGTGTAGGTCTGCGCCCAGGATCCGAACCCACGAATCCCGGGCTGCGGAAGCAGAGTGCACGAACTTAACCACTACACCACCGGGCTGGCCCCTTAAATGATTGTTTTAAAACAAATTCTCAGCTTACCCTCACTTATTAAAAAATTTTTAAGCTAGTTAAAAAAAATTAAAGAGCACACAGTAGAAGATTTTATATAAGGAAACCAATTTAAATTAAACATAATATATGCAAAGGATTCTTCTTTACTTATTCAGATTTATTTTACTTTCCCTATATTTTGTTAACCAGACTGTATGTCTTAAGTCAGGAAAATTATTTCTTCACTGCTAATTTTACATGAGATGTAACTCTTCATAAAACATGTTGAATACGTTTTTTAACAAGTGAACTTATGCATATGTAGAAATGTGTCTTCTAATTTCTTGGAAAATTACATTTAAGTAAATTTGCTCAATCAAAAACAGACATTCAGGAAAATATGCTCTTAAACTGAGGTGTATTCAAACTGTTAGAGAGGTTTCTGTTGAAGAAAAATAGTAATCTGTTTGGAGTCTCTGAGCCTTCTAGTACAGAATTTCTTTAATGATAATGTTGGAAAATTCACTTGCAGGTAATTCTTAGTGTTGAGAATTGCATCTGCTTTTACTGATTATGTATCTGCAGTAGTAGAGAACAAATAGCATTTCAGAACAGATAGAATATGGGACAATGGATTTGGGAACAAAAAGTCAAAAGAGGGAGCATAGGCCAAATGGGAAAATTATTGCATCATATCAATTAGTAAAGATGTGTGAGAGTTTACTCTGAAGACTTTAACATATGGCAGGTTTGTCCAGATGAAGGTAAAAACTGTGCATGAGTACATTACCCTGCAGTAGACTAAATCCATCAAGGGCTTCTTGTTTAATTAGGCACTAGGTAGAGCTTGTGTAGGGTAATACTCATCATCTCTTAAGAGGATTTTATTTTGGCTGAGGTTTGCAAAAGCCTTTCTCACAGATATTAATGTAGCTAATGCTTTTCTGGTCTATTTCTCTAGCCAAGACCTCTTTTCTTGGTTCTAGTCCCCTATATCCAACTGCCTTTTGGGCATCTCTTGATATCCCACATTTTGACATATACGGAGTTTGAACTTGTCATTTTTCTTACAAATCCTGCTGTTGCTTCTTTCTGTTTCCTAGTTCAGGAGGCAAGATGGTTTGGGAGTTCTATTTACCAAGAAAGAGAGTTGTCCCTGGCAGCTGTTTATTATTTGTTTCATCCATAGCTGTGGTGTTTAACAGGGATGCTTTTTCCCCCCAGGGGATATTTGGCAATATCTGCAAACATTTTTTGGTTATCACAACTGGTAGGGGAGCTATTGCCATCCAAGTGGGGAAAGGCCAGGGATGCTGCTAAACATCTTACAATGCACAGCACAGCTCCCCACAACAAAGAATTATCTGTCCCTAGATGTCAATAGTGCAGAGGTTGAGAAACCCTCATCCACATTGACTCTTGTCTTGTCCAGTCTTAAGAAGGCCTTTTATTCCTATCTTGGAAAGGCTTTCTAACACTATTCTTATCGTAAACCACTTAGGAAAAGCTTGTGTTCTTTCTCCTAGTTATATTGGTCTCTCAGGGTATTTTTCAGTGGTTCCTCTTCTGCAGATAATGGGAGCCATTACGATGCTGAATTTTAAATGAGACTGGGAGGAAAAGACATGCCCATCTACTCAGTTGCTTGAGTTTCAAATGGAATTATGATTCTCTTCCTTTCTGTAGTTCAAGGCTTGCTTGATGCACCCTGCTCCCTGTTTTTCTTGAATTTTCACAGCACTCAATTTCTGCCTACTGGTCATCTGTGCTCTTCCCTCCTTTATTTGGATTTTAAGCTGCAGGATTTCTAGTAAGCAGAAGCATGGCTGGAGTTTTAACACCAATGACAGTGAGCCCAGAAAGACAACTCGTTGATTACCTCTCTAAATGTGTGACAGTCTTGCTTTACCTCACTTGCTCTAATAACTTATCATGGTATTAAAAACTACCTTGTTAATATATTCCTTTAAGTTTTTAGGAAAAGATTCTTCTTGCAGCTGTACCACTGTTACTAAGGCCCTAGATAATTTCAGCTCTCTAGCTCCTTTAGGTATACCAGTATCTGTCCCAAGGGAAAGATTCTCTCCATTTTTTTTATTTTTTTTATTTTTTTTTATTGATGTTTTAATGGTTTCTAACATTGTGAAATTTTGGGTTGTACATTTTTGTTTGTCCATCACCATATATATGACTCCCTTCACCCCTTGTGCCCACC